ATTCATTACGCATACATAAATTAGCAAACTATTTAATTACACATAATTTCCAGTGGAATGACAGAATAATTTCTCATCAGTCATCGCAATCAGAAATAACAATAATTTTCAAAGTAAAAGTCTATCCATTCGTATTCATAAATTTTTTTTCCAAACTGTACACGTGTGCATATCTTATAATAAACATAGCACACAATAAAGAAAATGCATCCATCCGTGTAAAAGTTGATCCATTAAATAACAAGTTAAGTATTTCTTCAGAATATACTAGCCCATAAACTATAGCTAATGTGAAGGATTGTAATAATAATCTACAGCCTTTTGAGGTTTACATTTGCTTCTGTATGACTATCCCACGCTTCTTGCATAATGTAGCTGAAATCGGCCTTCATTTCAACGCAATGGTTCCGCTTTAGATGCAGAAATGTATCTTAAATGGTTTAGAAATGTATTTTCTACTTTGCTACATCAAATTAAAGTCTCAACAACATTTTACCTCTATTTCATTTCTCCACTACTAAATCTCTCCAACCAAATGATTTAATGATTAGAGTCAACCACATTGTTCTGAGACATCAATGGTATCCAAATTTATAGCTAATGTGTGTATAATCGGTAGACATAACTCGACTGTTTTCTATTGGGGTAGTGAGATAGTAAATATCAGAGAATCAATGAAGTCTTGATGTGTTGCCTGGGGGCCCTCCTATCAACAGTATTATTTTATTTCTGGTAGAAACCCTATTTGCAAATTTGTTGTTTATGTCTTTTACCGTGAATCGACATTAATGTCAAACATTGGACAACAAACGATTAGAGTCCAGTATGTATGAAGGGTCTGATCGTCGTAAATCGTGTTCGGTCATCCTCCAGCTATAAATATCGCCCTTGAACAATAGTAAGCGTGTCAGACGAGTCATTTTACCAGAGTTTAACACGCCCTGGATAACAGAAATAAATACATTCAATACATTTCTGGTTTGTGCTGAAAAAAAAATAAATGAAAAAAGATAAAAATACTTGGGATTTTATTTAAATGTATTAAAGCTTGGACACAAGGGGTCTATGGGTGTAGAAGTGTGACTGGATGTAAAGGTTTTTGTAGTCGTGGAGTATAGATGGATATTATAACCATGAGGAGAATTTAAAAGTGACGATAATGGGTATCGCGTTGACAGTTGGAGGGTATTAATGCTGCTTGAATCCGCATGAATGCTTTGCAATAGCATCAGTTAAGCGGTTGACTCGTTGAAACGGACAAATGTCCACTTGGATGTAGATTAGGTGCTCTTTTCATGCTCACGAACCAATTGAAAATGTGCTGAAATGGAATGTGTCCTTGTTTTTTATGATTTAGATTTTTTTTAATTGGTTAAAGCATTAGCTTTACATTGGAATAGAGCCAATTTTTTATTTTAAACTCCAATAAGTATTGCCATTGAATGATCACCATTGATCCTACTTACTTGGAAATATTTCTAAACTTGAATATCAATTATTCATTCGGGTTTAGAAGATTTAATTGAAGAACTAGTCTGAGAATATCTTAGCATTTCCTAGTATTCTCTTATCGGCTCAGACAGATAATCATGTAGTTCTGTACTCCATTCTTTAGCACCCTTAAATCTGTCGTTAACATTTTATCAAGATATTTTATCAAACACTTATTGCTCGCCTGACGAGATTCATACGTCTGATATTCGTGTTAATTTAAATTGAAAAAAATTAAACAGTTATTTTCGTACATTTGATATTTCTCACCGATAAATACAAAAGCTCAAGTCACAAAAAAAATGCGTGACGATAGATAAGCATTATTTGTATGCAATCTCATGAAATCATTATGTAATACACAAACGCTTGAATTAGTCACGAATGCCCAGTGGGTGAGTCCAAACCCCTACATTTACAAATTACTTTTGCTTGAATCACGAAATTCAATAAACCTTTAAATTCACACTCCGTCACTTTTTTAAACGGTTAACAATTGAAAAGTCATTACATTATATTTCTTTATTGTTCATTAGCATAATTATACAGCTTGAATCATAATTATTAATATCACATGAATTCATTGTCATGCTGGAAATAAAAATGTGAAAATGAGATAGACGTGCATACTAACGATTTCTTCCTTTTTCCTTATGATTTTTAATTTGTTTAATAATTTATTTAAGGCTAGTAATTTTTTTTCATCTTTTCTAGAAAATAATCTTGCTATTTTAAGAAAAAGTTGGATGACTAGTAGTCAACTTTCTCCATAATTACTTGGAGAATGACGAAAAGATGAATTTAAATATTTACTGATAAAATTATATCTTGGATCAAGAATCATTTTAGTCTTAATCATAATATTCTAAAATAAAACAAAAATGTTAATACAAAATAACACAAATGAAGGAAGGATAAGAACGGAACGGATCCAAAATGATAGCAGGATGGATCCAGAATGATGGCAGCATCATGGTATTTCTTTCACCATTCTCGATCCATCCTACTATCAATCTACAACCATTCTGTTCTTATTTATTGTTAGCAACATTCAACTGATTTGTTCATGTTGGTTTATGATTGAGACTATAGCACATCAGACATCATTCTTTCTTATTAAATCTCATCCTGTAATTTTTATTAAACTTTTCCTTTCAAAATCCCTCCATTTGTAACATTATTTTACACTATTTTTCTTCGTGTGTTATTATTTCATTTAATAATATGATGATGAAGACTGAAATTATCCTTAATCCAAGACCATCACTTTTTCAGTGATCGTTAAAATTTTTTTCTTCTCAAACTGCTGTTACTTTACTCAAACGGACGATTAAACATTAGCAATCATAATAAAACTCGCATAATTATTATGCAGATAAAGCAGTTTAGATTTAACGTCAGTAGTTCCTTTGTTGCTCTCCATAAAGTACTCTTCAGATTTTTTCTGACCCATTAGAATCGTGCACAATTACTGGAATTGGATCTTAAAATAGTTACAATCATAAAATCTAGATTGAAGTGCATATGATCCCTTGCTGCGGAATTTGAATGGTCGTAGCGATCATTAGTAACCGTTGACCAGTGATTTAACAAAGAAGGGATGTAGGAGCAAATAGTATATAAAGCATTGCACCCGGAGAATATACATTCATATGTGTATATGGTATTGAATCGTGTGGCGCTCGTTTTTATTATTCGCTTCATTCCGTTTCAATTGCAATTCAACCGTAATACCAGGCGTGCCGCTAAGGGGATTATGATGCTTGATAGATCAAATGTCACCGTAAGACTTAAGGCGCCATCAAAGTCAGACAAAGAGAAGAAAACGTTTGTATTTTTTTTTTTTTTTGCTTTGGTTGATGTTAAAAACTCTGAGTTTGTTGCGTCTACAGATTTTCCCTTTGGATATGATCAAAATCAAGACTTGGAGGCACAGAAACTCTGATCTGTTGCAACGAATTATTTTTTTTTTTTCCTTCTTCATCTTTAGATTACACTTATATTAATGGCACTGTGCTCTCAACTTCTTCAAGTACAGCTGCATTTATTCTCACTTACTTCTTTGCCTCTCATTCGACCTACATCAAGAGTAGCAATTAATTCTAGTATAATGAAAAATATTATTGCGATGAAAAAAATTTTTTAATATTATTAATAATTGTGTCAAGGAATAAAGAAAGAATTAAGCTCTTGTAGAGAATTAAATTTAATTGGAAACAATAGGAATTTATTATTATATTCATCATAATAAAACCATTTAGTATTTTATAAATAAAATTTAAAAGGTAATTTTTTACTCAAAAAAAAAAACTTTTTAATTAATATTTTAAATATAATTATTTATTTCTGTTAATTATCTTTGTGATAATAAAGTTGTCTAGTTTGTAAAAAAATTACTGAAGAAAATATTTATGTAAAGTGTTTTTTTTTATTTCAAGAAATTTGTTTATTATTTTTCGAAGCAAATCTTTCCCCAGGCTTTGTAAAACGATTGAGAAACAAAGAGAATATACAATCACGGCGATTAGTAGCGAAAAAATTCACGAGTTATGGTTATGAGGTTCAATTAGTATTCGTGAGTCTGTAAAAGAGAGGAAGGAAGAGAAAAAGAAAAGTAAAAGAATAAAAGAAAGAGAAGGAGTGTGCTATAAGGCATCAGAAAGTTAGCAGTCTGTACGAGGATACAAGATGGATGATGCTTTTCCGGTGTATTATTTTATTTGCTCGTGGGATTTAATAGCATCTTCCTCGCTTGTTATTAACGCTTTACATGATTTATTGCCCAATTTACGCTTGTCAACGATTGAGATTATTTTTGGCTGCTTTATGATAAAAGGTCAATGTTTAGATCGAATTTTCACCCGATCTTCAAAATCGACAAAAAAAATACCACAATAATATCATCATTTGTCGATTTATCAATTCACGCTCTAATATATTTACTAGGTTCTGTGCTATTCATTGGAAAAATTTTGACAGTCCACACGTGGCATAGATTTTTTGGTGATAGACCATGATTCGATTGTGCCAAGGGATATCCTTTGTTTGCGGATACGGAAGTTTTTTTAGTACCAGTTCAGTAGTTTTTTTATTTATTTTGTTCATGACAACCCTCTGATATAGACCATCATTTTGACCACAAACAAGAGTTTGTGTTTTTTTTAGGGAAATTTTGTCATGGTGTTGAATAAATCGTTAAAAGAGTAACAGTTTTCTGGACAACGATTTTTTTCCACAAAAAATGGTTACTCCAATATTATTTTAGTCTCAGCAATAATTACAGTAACGGTCATCTAGAAAAACAAATAGGAAATGTATATCTGTTATTATTATTATTCAACAGTGATTGTTCCCATTTGTTTACATTTTATTTTCAATATTTGATAAATTTATTTACTCAATGAAAATTGAATTGTAAAATTACTGGAAACACTGAATTAATAATACAGCACAAATTGAATATTGTTTGCATTTGTAAATAATCAATATGCTATTCTTTTTTATTGCAGACACATCCTACGAGAAGGCATGCAGAAGGGGCAGTGCTCCAGCAACACCAGTCCTTGGTGCACGTCCTCTGGATGTTACTCCAAACAGAATTGTCGTAAGTACTGATTTTATTTTTTTAATTATCATTATCACTACTGATCAATCAACTTTTTAATATCATTTTTCAAGAATTAATTTCTGGTTTTAATAAAAAATAATTGAGAGTTATTTATTCAGTCTTTAGAAAGCAATAATCTTGATTGTTGGACAGTCTTTGTTGTGAACAGACCAAATAAATCCTCCTAGTCCAAAAATAATTTTCAATTTCAATAACAATACAATGCTACTTGATCTTCAAGGACTTATATATAATATAACTCCAACATTTTTTCTCATTATGCTTTTATTGTGAGAATTATTTTTATGGTCTCATTCTGATAACAGGATGAATAGAAATGTATATTTAGCGTTAAAATATGCATATGGCAATAATAGTTACCATCCAACGGTCGTTGTTTATTTTAGCTTATATATGTCAAAAACTAGTTTCCGCTGTCTCATCGATCTTCACTGTTCCCCTTCAGTATTCCATACGTTTCTTCCTCCTATGTATTCGTACACAGTTCATAGTATCTATCAGGTCTAGCTTCTCTTCTATACTTTCACATTTGGCTTTGGAAAAGGACACAGTTATTTATTAGAATGACAATGTTAGAAAAAATAATTAGCACACAGTTTATATAGAAAAGCTAAACGGCATTCAGATCTGAATTACGGTACTCCTACTTCCTATTTCCGGAACTAGGTACACATAAATGTTGATACCTCATGTAAATGTACACACTTTAGAATTTATTTCCCCTCCTAAACAATCTGGCAGGATGACTAATGTTGGAGTTTTCTTTGAAAAAATCAATAGATCAATAGCTCAATACTTGACCGAGTGAACCAGCTTGGTTCCATTTGCATTTCTCTATTTTACTTTCAGTACAATAGTGCCCATTAATTCTCAAACCGAAATTAATCTCTGCAGAAACTGGGACCCCATACTCTTCTTCCAGAAATAAATGCCGAGTGTTGGATATAACAGGATTAAAGTCGAGTGTGGGTACATTGAAAATTTCCATGCTAGAAAATCAGGAAAATGACCTGGTTCATTCAGAGAAAAAGGGTTGGAGATGATTCACTTTTTGGGGTCTAATCCAATATTTGTTATTTATTGGATTTAACTCATGTATTTGAATCATGAAATCAATATTTTATGAAAATAAATCTTGAGGATTAACATTTATCAATAATTATTCAACATAAATATATGCAAATACAACATAGCACTGATGTTGAGATGAATACGAAGTATTGACAAAAATACTTTAGAATGAAAGTAACTGGTAATATTTACATGATGATATATGAGCATATTAATTGCTATTAAACAAATCATAAAGACCATGTGCTGGTGGTGAAGTCAATGAGTTAGACAGAACTCTTGTTTAAGATTTAATTGCTTTATTTATCGTTCTTAGATCAGCATGGGAGAAAAAGAAATAAATGAACACATTTGAAAATTGAGTAAAGTCAATAGACAGCATTTTTTAAATGCACTATTTACTTTAAATTAGCATTTAGTGATAATTTATTGTATAAAAACGAAAGTTAAATAAAAATGTTAATGAATTTTATTTTTCACAAGATAACTTTCTCTAGATAAATTTGAAATTTTTATTAAACTGAAATCTAAATATAATTTGAGCGTTAAAATGAGGTTAGAAGATAAGAAAAACGACCTAAATGTTGCCGGAAAAAAGGGATTGAGAACCCTCATGTTCGAAAATTGCAAACGTTTTTATGATGAAAAAAGGATAAAGCGAATACATATATAAGATGAAAGAATGAAAGAAGAAAAGTCGACCCCACCTCAGTTACTCTCCTTACTCACATGAATGCTTGCAGACTGGGGCTCTTTTTTTGACCGCACAAAGGTGTGCTCCGGGTGCTCAAGTGGAGCCCCAAGGATCCCTTGACTTCGTTAGACGACAAGGTAAGATGGTCGCAAGCATCTGCAGTCGTCACTGAGATTTCGTCGTGCTACCATGTCCAATACACCGAGCTCAGCTGTCGTGTTAATAAATTTGCACATTTGTTAAGTTAAATTAAATCTTCTGTAATTTCCCTCGGGAAGTATTTTCAATTAAAATATTTAAATTGAACTCCAAGCTTACTACATGCAAGAAAAATAATTATTTTCATTTTGGAAAATTAAAAAATGTACTCAAGTGAATATTAAGTAGGTTGGATAATATTTTTATCATTTAATTGTGTCAACTATAGTGCGTAGTTTCTTATCAAAAAAATAGTCAGTAGAGTTGTGATAAAAACTTTTTGATTGTGAGGCTGCTATTGCAATGATAAAGTATCACAGGCTGTTGACGTTAGGAGAAAGATGCACGGAAATGTAACAAAAACCAGTAGCCAAGATACTAAAATTGTTCACGTTATAATCAACTATTTTTCCAGGGTAAATATTAAAGAGAAAGTTTGAAAATACGAAAAAATATCAGAGTAGAAACGAGTGCCTGTTACAAGGTCAATCATTAAAGAGAAATGAAAGATAGATTTCAAGTTGATACCCAACTTCAAATAATGATAATATTTTTTTAAAACTAAAAAAGAAAAGATCCAACAGTTATTTTGCAATATGAATGGTGAAAAATTAATAATTATCATCCAACAAAAAGTATTATTATATATATAATTAGTGATTATGCTAATGGATTGAAGTCTCCTGAAATAACTTGCTCATTAATAAACCATAAGTAAACTTTCAAAAAAATCCGTGTTTTTACTTAGTGCTGTTTAAAGTATAAATAGATGAAAAAGTTGATGGAAGGTTTTTGAAGTTTGAGGGTAAAGAAGTAAATGAATTGTAAACTTAATTAATTTGTTGAACGTTGTTTGTTCCAGAACTTCTTCTCGAAGCGGTCGTTCCGCTCGAATCCTCTGAAGAGAACGAAGAGCGTAACGAAACTTGAGCGCCAGAAGCAACGAGGAACTGGATTAAGAGGTTGTCGTTCACACGAGTCACTTTTATGTGGACAAGCTGTGACATCGATGGATCTAGCAGCAGTTACACCATTACATCCAAGTTTACTTGGTAGGCCACATTGTTTTCAAGTGACACCAAGTAATGGTCCACCAAAGTACTTCAGTTGTCGAACTGCTCATGAACGAGATCAATGGCTTCATAGGTAGGTCTCATTTATCTCATTAGAGCCAATTTATTAAATCGTTCAAAGAAATAAATTACTTCATAACTTTTTTATTAAGCTTTTCTCAGAATAAATCTTTTTTTAGCAGTTAAATTGTTATTAAATTAATTTTTTTAATTGCAAAAAAATATTTTTATTTGAATAGTTAAAATATCTGATCATTAAAATTCCATATCAATTGAAACAATGAAGCTCAACGAAACAATTAATTAAAAAATCAGTTCTCAACGTTTTTGTATAGGATATATAATTAATTCTATTGTATATTTAATTACAGCCTGAGGAAATCAGTTCAACCAGATGCAGAACAAACTCGACGAACGGACAATTCGCTCCAAATTTGGTTGCTTGAAGCCAAAGGTGTACCAACAAAAAAACGTTACTTCTGCGAAGTCTGTTTAGACAATACTTTGTATGCACGTACAACAGCCAAGTTAAAAACAGAATTATGCTTCTGGGGAGAGCACTTTGATTTCCATCATCTACCGTCTGTCAATACGATCCAAGTCAACTTATATAGAGAGGCCGACAGGAAGAAGAAAAGAGACAAGAATGTATTGATAGGTTCAGTCAGCATTCCAGTTCAGAATGTAACGTCACGTTATCTTACGGAAAAGTGGTATCCAGTTGTCAGTGACAAAGGAGTTCTGAAAGAACCGCCGGCGTTGAGAGTTAAATGTCGCTTTCAATCAGTTGACATTTTGCCTGTTCATGTTTATCAAGAGTTTCTGGAGTATCTCAAGACAGATTATGCATCGCTCTGTGAAAGATTAGAGCCAGTCATTGGTGTAAAGGCTAAAGAAGACATCGCTACAGCTTTAGTAGCCGTAATGCAACGCGAGAAAAAAGCACCACAATTTTTAGCTGATCTGGTAATGATAGATATTCATAGGATTGACGATGAAAGGTTGACTTTCCGCGGCAATTCCTTGGCTACCAAGGCTATGGAGGCGTACTTGAAGTTGACAGGAGATCGTTATCTTCAAGAAACACTTGGAGCTGTTGTGAGGGGAGCTGTGGATGGTGGAGACTGTGAAGTAGACCCACTAAAAGTTTCTTCACTCGCTGCATTACACAAACAACAGCAGAATCTCCGGGCAGCTGTTGAATTAGCATGGAGTAGGATTCTTGCAAGTCACGCACACTTTCCTCTGGAATTACGCGAATGTTTCCGCATTTTCCGCGAGCGTCTGGCGGAAATGGGTAGAGAAGATATCGCTGACAACTTAATATCAGCATCTATTTTTCTCCGATTTTTATGTCCAGCTATTCTCAGTCCATCACTCTTCAATATAACACATGAATATCCTAATGAAAAAGCTGCAAGAAATCTTACACTCGTTGCTAAAAGTCTACAAACTTTAGCCAATTTTACGAGATTCCAAGGCAAAGAGAATTTTATGGAGTTTATGAATGATATTCTTGAAAGAGAAGCACCTGCTATGAAGAAATTTCTTTTATCAATCAGTAGTCCATTACCAAAAGATGCACCAGCTAATAATTCGCTTGAATTTGATGGTTACATTGACCTGGGCAAGCAATTATCGCTACTTCATGGACTTCTTCGTGAAAGTATCTCATCATCATCATCACCACCATCAAGACTTCCTGAAATTCTTGATCGAATCTCTGCTGCTTTAGATCAACCATCGACAAATGTTATTCAAACTCATCGTTTCTCAAATCTCCAAAATAATATTTTCCGATATAATGATCCAACAATTTTGAACAGCAGTTCAAATCTCTCAGTGTCTGCTTCTTCGACTTTAAGCAATCACAGTACGTTAAATGGTACCTTGAGGGATAGCAATGAATTGCTTCAAAGTAATACTTTGGAGCACTCAAGCAATTTAACAAGATCTCCAAACGTCGTAAGAGCAGCAACGCTACCACGGAATGCTTATCTCCCTACAAATGGTAAATTACACTTACCAATACCTTCGGATGATTACCATCCGTTGGAACCTCCAGCATTTGTGTCGAGATCTCCAACACCAGTTAATCGACAGCACAGACCAACATTAATTCATCGCGCTGGCTATCGATTGACTACCAGTACAAGCCTTGCTAATGTTAATCACTGCCAAAATCATCCAACGAGCCCAACTCGCTCGGAAAGTCACAATAATCTTAAAGACGCTAACTACAATATTAATGTCAGCCAAGCAAATCAAATAAGCATTGGAACTCATCATCATACTAGACCATACACATCAAAACTGCCATCTCATGATAATCATGAAGACAATTATAATCATAATTATAATGTTTCACGGTCAAATAGTAGGAATCACTGCAAAGAAGAGAATGCTAATCAAGTTCAAAATTATAACAATGTTTCTAAGACAACTGTTAATGCTAACCCTATTGTTAATCAAGCGAATCTCACGCTATCTATTAATAATCAGTCGAATAATAATTATCATAATAATAATAATGCAAAAATAAATAATAATACGGGTACCAATGGAAACTTGGATGAGATCTCAGATTTATTAAGATATGCTGATGATGAAGTATCAGAATCCAAGTCACAAAAAGGTTCACAAATATCCATCTCGCAATTAAGCAACGTCGCTTCTTCAGGGTATCAAAGCTTTGCGGCTTACAGTCAAAGCTCGAGTCCAGTCGACCTCAGTAATAATGCTAATGCACACATAATTAATGCAGCACCACTCGCATTTGCTAATCCCGTGTATCATATGGAAACTAATCATGGTAGAAGTAACCGAAGAGACAGTAGTAGTTCTGATGAAAGGGACGGAAGTAGTAATGGTGGTGTTGAAGGTATCAAAGGCGTTGATCTTAGTCCTTCACCAACTTCACAAACGAGCTTGAGAAATAATCAGCGAAATGAACAAAACCAGTGGAGACAACTGAATGCCAATCATCGCGTTGTTGGCGAACAAAACCAAAATACTTGTTGTACAAAACTCATGAGGCGATTGTCTCTCGATTCAACGAGAGATTTGTCGGATACTAGTGAAGAAGAAAATTGCACTAATCGGCGGAATAAATCGCGGAGTCATCGAAATATTGATCAGGTTGGTTGAAAGCATTTAAAAGTTTTTTATTGCTGCTGGAAATAATTATTGAATAATTATAAAATGAAAAACTCAGTAAATGAGGAGATCATGTTAAAAATTGTTCTTAATCTCCAATGAACATTAAAAGTAATAATCAGTAAATACTATCTTTAGAGTTGATTGATGATTTATTTTTTTTAGAGTAGAATATTCCTCTTTTAAAATGAGTTAAAGTCGGCAAAAAGCTCCCAAACAAGTGGTGCTAATAAAAATGATCTCAGTTTGTAATGTCTTGTAAATTAATTCTCGTCAAAAGCATCTTTAGGCCAGATGGTCCTTGTTAAAAAAAATTCTCATAAAAAACTACTTGAAGCTGATTGATTCGTATAAGATATTCTACTTAAGAATTATATCTTAAATATACACTAATAATTATCTCAACAAGAAATTTATTATAATCAAATAAAATTAATATGATCAAACATAAAGATAAGAAATAAAAAATTCCTAATATTATTTTATTTAAAAAAATTTCAAACATCAACTTCTAAAATGATCATTTGTTTCTACTATCCAATTCTTTTACTGATTTTTCAATCTATATATTAAACTCTTTTGTTAATTCTTGTGTCAATCTTTATTAAAACAAGACTTTCTTATCTAATCTATTTAAAAATATATCAACAAATAATTAATTCTGAATAATTGTAAATAATTTTACGCACAGCTATACTAATGAGTTACTAACAATCTACTTACATTACTTCCAGTATGAGATGGAAATCGAGCGATTACAAAACAGTGTGGACCGATTACGAGCACGATTAGGCGCTACTGAAGACACTGACGTCGATGGTATTACTCCTGACACTAAAATGAAGAATATAATCTCCAGGTATTTTTTTTTCTCTGAATTGATCCCTATTTGTTAATGTTTTATTTATTCTATTTTTTCAAAAAATTTCAATGTTCAATTTAACTAATATTTTATTAAATTTTTTATTAACCTTTTCTCTATTTAATCCTTGAATTAATTAATTAATTGAATCATTTAACTATCATTATCATTATTTTTATTACTGAAATCATTATTATATTTAGTTGGTTCTAGAAGAGAGTTTAAAAAAGGTTCTATTATCTGATCAGATTAGTTTATTATCAATACCAATATGCAAATTAAATGTGTCTTTTAACTTATTATGTGTTCCTATGCATTCTATCCGCTGCATTTGGTATCTGGCTTGATCTGGATCTTGGTGTAAGAGTCAATCATATTAATAAGCTTTTCCCAATTTTTTTCAATATTTTTTCATACACATTTATAGTCTATAATAATTTTTATCTTCACGTATAAGCTTGAATTTATAAAAGTAAAGTAATCAAAACTTTCTACAAGACATAAGACACAATATTTTCTACGATTACTCGCAAAAATAAATATTATTTCTCCTTCAGAACATGATTATATCACTTAGAACAACAATGGAACATACAATGTAAATATTTACCACACGTATCTGCACGATTATTATCATTTTCGATTGCTTCATTTATTACATACACCAGATTCAAGTATTGATAGCAACTATGATTACTTAAACAATAATTTTAAGTTGAACAGAGCTGCTAAGTTGATGAAATAGACCTAGAAATCTAGATAAAACCAATTGAATTGATCATCAAATTAAATGAAAAAATTTTTAACAGATTTTTTTGTTTGGCAGATTGATCTCTGTGGAGGAGGAACTTCGACGCGAACAGCAGAAAATGTCCGCAGCATTGTCGTACAAGCAGCGCGTGATCGACGCTCAAGAGCAACAAATAGCTGCTCTGGATGCAGCAAATACCCGACTGATGTCATCAAACACAAGACTATTGTCCGCATTGAGCACTCTTAAGCAACGATACAATCTTAAAGCACAGTCAAACAGCAGTGAAGCCACAGCTTTACTCCAAAATATAACTGATATCAACGAGCTTAAGAGTTCATCTTGTTAAAATGATTTATAAAAGCGACCATTCAACAATCACAGAATTCAGTACTATCTTTTAAACAGTCACTAAATTAATATATACAAAGTATAATCATTTCAAAGAAATATTAAGAGAGAAAAATTAAAGATGATCGGTTTTTAATGTTTATAAAATTATTTATAATTGATATTTAATTGTTTAATGGATCTATCAGTCTGTCACTCTGCTTTTTAGGTTTCTTATAAACCTAGATGATGTGTTTAATAAGTGTGAAATATAGAGGCTAATTAGAAAGTAGTTTATATATTATATATTCACTAAGTAAATTATTAATTGCATAATTATTATTGTCAAATTACCGTCAATTAGTCTAGGACGGTTCATTTGTACGGGAAATTAGATTTTGTATTATATATCGCACGAGACTATCGACAAAGATTCATCATTAGAATTAAGGAGTAGTGATTTGATGTACTACTTGACCAACTAAATTGACTTAAAAAACAACTATCTTTTTACTTTTCTGTTTATTTATTTTTTAATGTTTTTTTTTCATGGATATATTTATTTTCTATTGATTATGAATTGTAATGTTATTTTCTTTTTTTTTGTTTATTATAAATTGAACAGAAAGTTAAGTAAATTGTGAAAATCGTCTCATGAATGATCTAATTAATTGCAAACAAAAATTAAATGAGACAATAAAATATTCAAAAATTTATTTACAAAAAAAATTCTTAAAAAGCGACAAAATGTAATAAATTTTATAAAAAAAAAGCTAAAACTTTACAACACATCATGATATTTATTTAGCAATTACTACCAAAGATATTGATTTTACATTGTATAAATAACAACTGAAATCATGTAAGATATTTTTTTTACTCACAACATTTTGAGATTTGTTAATAATAATTTACAAAAAAAGATATGAATAATTATGATTAAATAATTCATCATTATCATAACTAAAAATGTTTCAATTTTGTTCATAATTGAGAAAAATGACTTTTTGTTAATAATGAATCAATTATCTGATAATAGTCATTTATTACAAAAGAATTGTAGTTTTATTTACTGCATTTGGTATTCTACAAAACATTTATTGCAGTTGAAACAAATATGAGTGCATGAGAAAAATGTGTGAATGTATTGTTTGAATGAAAGTATGCGAAATTTATAAAAAGTTAATTAGACAGTTGAAAGTAAGATATAATGCAAAAACACTGGAGAAAATCACCGAGCGACTATTTAGGAAATTAAATGTAATTCTATGAAAAAGTATTATTGCTCCAATTTGTATAGAAATCACATGTTTAGTGTATTGATATTTAAGCCGTTTATAATTGTAGCTATTATTAGTGTTGTATAGAAAAAATTATTTTCTTCTTTTGCATAATTTTACCCTAATTTAGCACGAAGAAGATAAAACTTCATCGTTGAGTATTCTGTCACAAAATTGCTATGTACAAGCAATCCTGTTAAAGAGTATGACAAAATGAGAATATATCTCTCTTAAATTAACACTAAAGAACTTTAAAATGTATATTGCTAAGTATTAATTTACTCAATTATTTTTTTTCATTTCAATCAATGTATTTAAACTTGAAAATTATATATGGACAAATAAATATAGTTAAACATATTTTTTATTTATTATTTTTATGGTATGCTATATTTTTAAATACCTTAATTATCAAAACTTATTATTTCTAAGCAGCAAATTGTCCAGAAAATAATTTACAGCAATAATTAGATTATTATTTATTAATTCTCAATTTAAATTCTACCGCACCGACATATTTTCAACTAGATGGCGACACTTTGGTATTCTCTTAGAAAAACTGCTGTATCATATGTAGATAAATTACCGTGCTGCAATCAATTTAACTTGGTTAAGGAACGCTACCACCAGGTGGAGTATTTTTTTTTTGCAATTGAATCAACCGTGATCCCTCGCGAATAAACCGTCGTTTTCGCGTCGTCTCCCAAGATTTTTTAAAAATATTAATTATACTCGATTAATTATCTATTTTTAAAGCGTAGTAAGAATTATTATACTTAAACTGATCATCTTAGCAATTGTAACAATGGAAAAAAGTTATGAATCATGTACACAATGTATGTCATTAGTTGAGTACATAGGAAGCAAAGGTGGAACGGTTATTTTTTCTCTATTAATATTAATATTCAAAAATGGATGTAACTCTTTTAAAAGAGGTCAATATGTATTTACTCATACATTCAATAGCATTACTCTACACAAATCCAAACAATACAAGACATGACATAAAGGGAAACAGTCTGTGGTAAGTTTGAATCAGAATTTCTCAGATATTCTCGTAATATCTGTTGTTATCAATCACTCCAACTGATGGATATATATAATTTGTTATTAATTCTCTTCAGTAATTATCACACAATCATTCTTCGATAAGATTTTTATTAAATAAAATCCGAGAGATAATAGGTTATGTAACTCGGTTATCCCAATTAATGAATTCAATTCCAATACATTTATTAATGACGCAAGGATGTAGAATTATTTCACAAACATGATATTGTATTTTATTCAACTGCATTACAACATGTTCTATTTTTTTTAGGAATCTATGTAAGTCTTTGTTGTATAAGGGCTTATGAAAAAATAAATAAATAAAAAATATGAATGTATATATTCGTGTCACGTTCGAATATATACCAAGTGACTTGAGAAAGCAGTGGTGATAAGGTAAAGCGAACAAGTGCGATAAGCCAAAATAAGATAGTGGCCGGCACAGCCGTTGACACTGTCGAGCATATCTCAAAGTCAATGTCCTATGAAGGACTTGTCAGCCAATACGTCGTATTACATTCGTAGACTAATAAAGAACAATAATATAACACAGCTTTCATCTAAAGTTTATACAACACTTAGTAGTTTAATCTTCACTTCATTACACTTATAAACTGTATCAAACTATATTATTAAGCCTTTCAAATATAACCTTAAACTTGATTGCTTTTAAACAATCAGTCTCTCGGTTCAAAAAAAAGGCGCAATAAGACAGATAAAATGTAATTTAGAGATTTTTTGATAAAAATAAGTAGGACAAATATTACAGTAAAGTCTGAGACATTTGAGCAAACTACAATATTTTAAAAATTCTCTTCAATTCATTGATAAATCGAAATCAAAATGATATTTTTTATGAAATGACTGTTTAGTCTTTTCGATAAGAAGTCTTACTTTTTGGAGACCAAATAAAAAATGAGGTAATATTCAGGTTCTTTATGAATGGAACTAATTAATTTTATTTTGCACTTAATTAAAAATGCTTTTGCGTAGACTATTTGAAATAAATGTCAATGTGTTGTGTAGTTATCAATTCTATATTTAAAATCTATTCGACAATAAATCTATAATTGTTCTTTAATGCTCTATCTATGAATAATAATTAAACTATTTATATGAGCTCAATAAATACATATGTATTATTCATGATTAGTTTATTAGTTAAATTTAGTAACAAAATAATCTATAATAATGCGGAGATTTTTAAATAATTCAACATATCGTTTGATGAACTTTGATATTCTAAAAATAATAATTAATTTAGATCAATTGTTTGGAAACTGTAAATGATAAACAAATATCATACAATCTTTGGTAAAAAGACCGCTTAATCACTTCGTAGAAATAACTGACAATGAGTAAATTCTATTTTATAAGTCTTCCAAATATAACCTTAAACTTGGAAACATTTAATTACCTTAATTTCTAGATAATTGATTATATTTCTCTACTAGAAAAACAAGAAAAAATAGAATAAAAATACTTGGATATTTTTATGAAATTCTAGAATAAGTGTTAGAATAAAAAATGAGTAACCAAATGCAGAAACATAACATAGGTCAGTGGTTTGCCTCAGTCTGGTTTGAGAACGGCAAGTATTTGCGATGGTGATCGCGACCAAAGGGAAATAGAAAGCGCGAGAGGGGTGAATAAGAAGCAAAAGAGTAGTTATGGATAGAGAAGGGGTGGATAGTATGGAATCAGGAAGAGAAGGTTGTATCGCAAGGGTACAGTGTACTAGTGAACCCGCGGTGAGTGCGAGTTATCTCCCACCCTTTGTACACCCCTCGGCTCTGCGGGTGCTGTCGTGTAGCAGGGATAACGGGACTGTGTGCGAGGGGATGAGATGTTGCTGGTGGTGGGATTATATGATACTGTAGTGGGGAGGTAATGATGTTGAAGGGTGGGAGGCAACGTCGTATTCATCTTTCTCGATACCCGTAGCAATTTTTTTCACCAAAATTCATTGTTTTTGCCATTTTTTAAAGTGATATATTTGAAAAAATTTTCAGTTATCGACCGAGAAGACTGCGGAGAGTATGGCAAGTGTTTGAGAGAGGCAACAGAAGCGAAAAACTGATGGAGAGTGCGAATAAAAAAGGACAAGGGCGATGTTTTGAAGTCTGACGTGGGGTGACGGCGTTTGGAGAGGACGCTTTGGCGGGTAGCTCTCGCGGGGTGGGGCGAACGATTGTGTAGAAGGGTGGGGCGAGGCATTGGAGGAGAACTCGACGACGGCAAGGAGAGGTCATTGACCTGAGCGGCTCGCTGCCGGCTGCTAGAACGCTAGGCTGCTGCTCTGCTCGTTCCGCGTTTGTACCTCGTGCGCGTTTCTTTACCTCATCGCGACAACTATCACAGCATTCTAGTGTTCTTTCTCACTTTCGCACCCTTTCTACTTGGTATACACTCGAGTATACAGAATAAGTGAGCTTTCCCTTTGGTTTGTAACCGAGTGAAAATCCTTCCGGACGTTGTCGTTCGATCAACACGTCCAAGGTGGTAATAGTCTATTTCGTTCTTTCTTTCTTGCTTTCTCTTTCTCACTTTTTCATTCTTCCTCTACTGGTGGAGGTGGCGAAGGTGCTCTGGATGGTTGGCAGTAGTAGTGGTGATGATGGTGGTGGTTGTGCTGGTGGTGGTTTTACTCTTAATGTGCACGGTGTAGTTTTATTACTACTTTGCTACTGCTACTGCTGCTGCTGCTGTTTCTAATGTTGCTCTCTCTCACTGATATATGTTGGTTGTGAAGCATTATATTATATATAATAGTTGTGTGTTGATGACGATGGTGGTGAACCTCAAGCAACACTCGTTCACGCGACTCGACCGTGGCCGTGTCGACCTCGTTCATGTCAGCATCAACCCGCGCCCTACTAAATCTCTGTGCGGTGTGTGAAAAAAATTCTGTTCAATCAGATAAACTTTCAATAACAGAGGAAGTTTAAGTTTCTTCAAGTCAATAAAAAATATTCTTTAAATCCCCTACTGTATAGTCTATATAACAGTAGTTCACGGTCGCCAATTATTAAAGTGAATCAAAGAGGTGATTTAAATAATTTTCTCTAATTCAACGAATAAAAATAAACAATCCCATCAGTGTTCTCCAAGTGGATTTTTGTGATATCTTGTGCTTCGCTGGTTATTATACCAATATATAAATCTTAAATACATCATCAATGACAATATAATAATAATAATAATAAAATTAACACAATGTTAATGATAATGATGATTGTGAACAATTCTAATGAGCGATTTTTAAATCACAGTTATTCTTATCTCACTGCTTAACCTTGTCTTGCGTGTCATTCGTGAAGTGATGAAATTTAAGTATAAAAATATTTTTCTCATTTATTGCAACCTTTTTCATAAATTAACATGCAAATAATTATCTGTCATATCCTAATATCTTAGATGTTTGTGATATAAATAATCCCCTAATGTTTTTTCGTGACTTTTTTTATTCTTCCACAATTAACGATTCTCTTAAAAGTGATTTGCAATCCCTAGATAAGTAAATACAAAAGCAGTAGAGATTTTGAAAAGCATAATCGACACTTTCTTGATGTAAATATATATCTATATATCTTTGTGAGAGTTATGTTCTTTAGACTATGTGGATGGCTGATCTAAAGCTAAGCCATCTACGATTCTCTGGCCCCCGGCGTTCATTTCGGTCAATGAAAAAGAGAGCCCAGGGGGGAATAGAGCGTTCTATCGTGGTCCAACATAAGCATGTTCATATACGTGTGTGAATATTACGCAGAGGCAGATTCCTCTACATAGACTAGGTATTAGATCAAGGCGGAAGCGGAAGCGTGTTCAAGTCCACTCTATTTTCCCCATTTTTTCTCTTTATCCTCTCATAATAATTCTTCCCCTGTTATTTTTTCTGCTTGTTATACTCAATTAACAAAAAAACTATCACAACTTTTTCACCTTGTCTTTGACATTTCATTTATAATTGATTTGATACCCAAACAACTTTAGTAATCTATTGTTGTTTTGATAGCAAATTAAATGGCAATGGTGATGCTTTCCCTTTCGTTATGCCGACTTTTCCATGAACGTGCAGTGCGTACGTATAGAAGACAACGCGTAAAGTAGACGAAGAAGTTGAAGGTATCTCTGGTGATGGGAGTATATAGGAGCCGGTTGCACGTGTCGTCCGAGAAAGCATGTTACCGTGGCAGCTACGAGTGACTACGGTAACGCTAACGGGAACGGGAACGGGAATGAACACGACCTAGACGGCAACCGAGAGTTGAGTTGAGAGTGAGTGCAAGCGGAATTTAAAAGTGAAAACT